CATTTTCGCTTTTTGTCACAGTCCAGTTTCTGCTGTATAGAATGTATTTACACATTTAAAAATATATGTACAATTGTATATTGCAGTTTTAACACAGTTTCTGTGTTAAATAAAATACAAAACTTTTTTTTACATTTAATGATAAGTCAAATATTTCCATCTCCTGTGATATATGTTCTAAAGTTTAAGTCAAAAAGGGGAGGTAATCTGTATTTTTCAAAAACAGTAAAAGGTCTCCTTTTTTTATATTTTCATCTATCAGAAAATTTTAAAACCCTTCAGTTAAATTAAAAGGCAATACTATTTTCATAGAAAATATACAAAGTAGCAAATGAAAAAATGAAAAAAAAAACATTTTAGTGCTAACTTTCATTAATTTCCTGAACATTTAGTGGGGGTACCACAAAAGAACAGACCAAAACTGTAGTAAGAGTAGCATTTTGAAAAATGGTTTACAGACAGACGGACTTACAGCTTGACAGACGACGGATGCATTACTATCGAATGAGCTCTTCTGGTCTCTGACCAGTAGAGATAAAAATGCCAATCTTCTTTAAAATGTTTAAAACTTGTTGAAACTCTTATTTGCAAATGAGAGCAGTTTGATGATGCAAAATTGCAAAACATCTCTGTTTTGGACTGCTTAAAAAAATCATTTCTTAAACATATGGTTTGATTTAGGAGTTTCCATAAATACTTAGTGATTAAGAAGCAAAATCTTATACGTGAAAAGAAGAAAACACTTGCTGTGGCATGTAGGCATACATCCTCGTGATTTTCTTTGGCTTTGGTTGGATCAGCATGCTCTGTCTCTGTCATTTTCTGTTCAAAATTATGCAAATGAATATAAACAAACATAACAAACGTAAGCTGAACTTCATTTTCAAGTTGTGATTTTGATCTAGTTGGTGTTGAAAAAAATTGGCACATATATATTAAATTTACACTAATTACACTATGCAAATTTATAGATTTGTTGCTATTGAGGTCTTATTTATTGGCATTATTCCTGGCTTATACATATACATATATATGTATCTACGTCTAGCTGCACCAGGATGTGTCCTTAATAGTATAATGACCAGTTTAGGACGTAGCTGGTAGTGGTCAGTCTCATCCAGTGGCTTGTCCTCTTTGATTTTTGTCTACAAAATATTAAGGAAACGTAATTGATTTAACCACATTAATCCTTAAAAAGTTGAACTTTTAACTTGCATTTACTGTAATTTGTACATTACATGTTATTAAAAAAATAATTTACAAATCAAAACAGAAAGTCAACATCACTAGGTCAAAAATTATAAAAACAATTGGAAATGCCTTTTGTTAATCACATGTTAAAAAAATATTTTACTATACCTCTTCTGATTTTTCCTGTATAAAAATTAGATAGTAAAATGTGACTAATACCCTAGAAATCACTGTGAATGCAGGACTAATCCTTGTGCGTCTGTCAAATAAGTTAATTACTATTTCGGAAGCTAATTCCCGGTTGTCCTAACCTTCTATTTTTTACTTTTGCATCGCTTAACCATAATATATTTTATTGGACTAATCCTTACACATTAGTCATGTGAGCTAATCTCCGCTTTGAAAGCTAATTCCCCGTCATTCGCAATCCTCTATTTTTTTTTTACTTTTGTATTGTTATAGTAAAACAGTTAAAAAGTATATCATTGAGGGAGAAAGTAAGATTCCAGTTCCCCAAGGCCAGGACTATTTCCCTCGGCATCCCTCAATATATTTTATATTCTCTCATTCAAAAAGTACTGATCAAATTTATTTTTGAGACAGACAGAATTCTTTAATTACTTAAAACATATAATCAAAAGCTTTAATGAGAAAGTTTAAACTAGTCTGCAGGGCAAATAATTTGGGAAAGCAAAAATGTTCCGGACAATGAATATCTTCACTAGCCAAGGGTTTACAATCTGCTCCACCGCTCTACAATTCTGTTGTAGAGGTGTGTAGAGGATCATAAACCCTTAGGTAGCAAAGTTGGATGATGGTTCTACATAGATGTACATATGACCTTGATCTTTGATTTATTAAACTTATCGAAAGTTGCTGTACATCCTATAAATAAAAAAAAATACATGGAGCTAATTCAGTTCTAAATACAAGGCAATTAATTATAACATTTTATTCACTACTTTTCTTATAAGTTCATAGAATAACCCTACCTCTTCCATTACATCTAGGCTGTTTGGTGACTCTGAATCATTTCTGTCCCCTGACAAACTGTCAAGGCATTGTCGACAAATTCCTGAAGTAAAAATTCATTAAATAAAACTTGAACTTTTTTCTTGCATAAACAACTTACTGTACAAATCAGAATACTGGAAGATTTATATTTATTTTAACATCTTTAAAATGAGGAGGAATTTTTCAGAGCATTTAAAAAGGCTGTAATTTATTTTCTAATTATGCTTTAATTATAGACCTACATGTAGTTGCATGAAACAGTTTGTACAACAAATCTAAAAAAAAAATTGTGTACATCAAAATTTATTTTAGGGAGTTAGCATAATGAAATAGAACTTGAGACATTTTCTCGAAAATGACATAGTTTGCACCTTCCCTTCACTTTCTACTTATACAGGGGGAGCAAGATGAAGACCGCTATAAGCTCAAAAATATTGGAAAATATGAGCATGGATTTTTATGCATTAAACTTTTGTGATTTCTTTGGTATTGATATTTAAGGTTGAAAAATCCTTTGACAAAAGAAAATCTCTTAAAAAGTAGTTAAGATTGAAAATTTTAATTCTCCACACAAAAAAATAAAACAGCAGACAAAAATTCACAGAAATACATACACACTTGTTCAAATCTTTACATGCAAAAAGATACAAAAATCGCATTCTTCAAACAAGTCTGGAATGCATGAGCTCTGGAATCAGCTGATGTTTAAACAGTGCCGAGATGTTCTTGCTTGGTGAAGTTGATGGGCATGGCAGGAATGTGAGGGTGGTGACAGGGTGATTAAACAAGTAGCAAAGGATCGTAGTACAAAAAATGCTTGATTTTGTTTCCAAGTCAAATTAAGTACTTCAACCAGTAGCCACAAAAATTCAACGCCAATTAAAAGAAATCTGGTTTAAAAAAAGATCAGATACAACTTATGATAAAATTCCAAGCAAAATTTACAAACTGTTCCAATTCTGCATAATACACCCCATCTCAGTTGAGCAAGCTCACACATCCTTACAGACATCCCTCTCTGTGTCTTGCCATTTGAAGAGCATAATTATGTCTACTGAGATACTTAAATTATATATTTACCTATATTACTCTTTATTAGCTTAGGCAATTAATTATTGTCTTTTATCTCATACATGTTGATGATACACATACTACACGTTGGATAAACCTATGCTTTATCCACGGGCAGATGTCAATAGCACTTACATTTTTGACACAATCTCTCGTTTCAAGATTTTATATCATTGAAACTTTTATTTAAAAAAAATTCTTTACATTATAAATTGAATGATAAAGAGCAATAATGTCGTTAAAAACAAGAAAAAGAATTGTATATGTCAAAGAAGTGTCTCATCTTATTAAGGAACCTGTATTGACTACTTGAGGACAAATGTGTCTTCCCCCCCCCCCCTTTGAAGGGCATGGACACAGTTTCAGCTAAAATTTCAAAATTTATTTTTCCATTTTTACAAATATTTAACTATGGTCTTTCTAATGATCATCAAAAATTTGAACACCAGTTGTCCAGATATAAGACAGATTTAGAGCTTTGTTATGTAAACAGGGCTAGTGTCTTGTTTTTGTTTACACAAGTTAATATACTAATATATGTTTGTTTAAAGTAAACAATTTTAAGTAGTCCTATCTTTCCGTAGCATGTTTTGTACTGCCACCGTACAAAGAGTTCATTTTCCCTTTGTCCTCATAACTTTAAGTCAAAAATTTGCTTGATGTAATTGCATTAAACAAAGCTGGCACATATTAAAGTGATTTTTACATGAATTTATTTTTCATCCATTTATTGAAAACTAATACTGCATCAAAATGTTCAAAGCGGGATTATCTGAACATCATGGAAATTATGCTCAATAAAAAATAAGTATAACTAAGCATCTCCCCTACTTCCTCACAAATCTTGATCTGTGAATCTATCAAAAATTAGTTTTTTTTCTGCTACATCATGGAGTGCCAAGTAAGGGTCCTTAGTTTAAGAGTGCCAATGTCAAAGAAAATATGGGGTGCTATTCCTATACATGTAATACTTCAGTCTCAATAATATTAGATGTTAGATTTATTCACACTACACTAATAATATCCCATAGAGGGTCATGTCGTGATCAAATTCGGAACAACTCTATTATTTGCCTCAACATATTTAGATGATTTTGCAGATGACAATTTGATTGGTTGATAGAATTTGACCTCTGACGTGATCCGCTATGGGATATTGTTAGTGAAGTGAATATGTGAGTGGATGTAACATTTAATTTTAAAAGGAGGGGATCTGAGGGGAGGATTTTTGCCATGTCCTTCCTTCTAAGACAAAGTAATCGTGCAGGTCTAATCACTAGATTAAGCACATAGGTAGCTTTATTTAGCTAATTCAATGCAACTTCATAAAAAAAGAGGATATTTCTTCATAAATTGTTTTTAGAAGAGTTCGAAGTTAAAAATGATCACTGCATCAAATTATATTTTCTGCACACCCTCATCCTCACAACGTCAGGGGTCCTGAGTCAACACGTTGCCGTTGGACCCCTGACTTATTTCATTCGAAATCTGCGGGTTGACTACAGCGACGTCTTTCGGGGAAATTACAATCTCTCGACCAATCAAATTAAGCCTAACACATTACCTTTCGGTAAGACAGCCAATATGGCCGATATAGAAGTTGTAAACAGAATTTGTCAGAAAGTCAATCTGAAGTCACTTACAGATCAAGAAATTTCGGCGATCGATGCCCTGAAGAAAGGAAAGGACACATTTGTTGGGACAAAGACGGGAAGTGGGAAATCTCTGGTCTACGAAAGCTCGCCGATTGTTTTGGGAGAGAATGGTGTTACAACTGTGCTTGTTCCGCTGAACAGTATTATGTCTGAACAAATAGAGAGACTGAACAGGCTTGGATACAGAGCTGTGCAAGTATCGAATGACACTGAAAAGCAAGCTGTTATGAACGGATATTTTCAGTTCGTGTTTGGAAGCCCCGAACTTCTCGTCGGTGATGACAAATGGAGAGAAGTTTTGAGAAATCCAATCTTCACATCAAAACACCAATTGATTGTGGTCGATGAGGCCCACACCGTAATTCAATGGTAATTTAATAAGAATACATCAACCATTTGAATATAGAATAATTGCATCAACTTGAAATTGCCCCTTTTTAACAATGCATGTTTTAAAACTTCCTCACATGTCAAATGATGTTTCTTTAATTTAATTTAGTTTTCCAGGAAATCGATTATTAATTTATTAAAATTGAAAGATTGTGTATACTTTTAGGGGGCTAGAGCATCAACAAGAAGGGCCATTTCGAGAGTGGTTTGCTCACATAGGAGAGATGCGATCACTTTGTATTGGGGTACCTATACTGGCGCTCACCGCGACAGCTAGCCCCACACACAAACGCCAAATTATGCAGAAACTGTGTTTTCGTCATCCATCCTGTGTAATTCTAGACAGTCCAGATAGATCAAACATTAAATTGAATGTACTGAAAGTGAAAAAATAATGTAGAATTAGAAAATGTATTTCAGTGGTTAACAGCTGCATTAGTTGAGAATGGGCAAGAATTACAGAGGCATCTAATATTTTGTAACTCAATTAAAGACTGTGCTATGATTTATATGCTGTTCTTAAAAATCTGTGGGCCTACAAATCATTTTAACATGTATCACAGTAAAACAACTGATGCCACTAAAGAAAAAATCCGTAAAGACATGAATGAAGCGAATGGTAGTATAAAAGTGTTAATGTGTACAAATGCAGCAGGGATGGGAGTGAATTTCCAAAACTTAAATAACATTGTTCATTATGGTCCACCCAGAGACCTTGACAATTAGGTACAGCAGATGGGCCGTGCCGGCAGGGATGGATCCCCATCAAATGAACTGATTATCTACAAGGCAAATCAATTACAAAAGGTGGATGATGATGTGATTAAGCTTCTTAAAAGTACTAGTACCTGTAGGCGAAAAATTCTAAATGAAGCTTACATGAAGAAACACACAAGAGATTGTGATCACCTCTGTTGTGACATCTGTGAATTAATGTGCAAATGTCAAAGTGATGGTTGCCCGTCAAAGCATTCTGCAAAGGAAACATTTATGAATTTGAGAGATGAAGATAATGAACTAGACATGAGAAGAGAAATAGGAGGAGAAGAGAAAGCCATTGTTCAACAAAAACTTCAGTCATTGAAGGACAACATATTTGAAGGAACCAAATCTTTTATTCACAGTGACATTGTTTGTGGGTTTTCTGTTCAAGAAATCATAGCAAAGTTTCCTTTTTTATTTACTGTAAATGATATACTAGATAAAACAAGTGTTGATTCTTTCTCATTAGCCAGCAAGATAATCCAAATAATTACAGAAATATTCAATGACAATGAAATGTATGCATTAGAGGAGATTGACTCTGATTAATAAATATAAAAAAAAAACCAAAAACATAGGTAATCTGTTATTAGTTATTCATTGTCCTTTTATATTTGGTTCATTCATGATCATTTTTATTTATTTCTATACATTTTCAAAATATTTGGGATTCATTTCACATAGTCTAATTTATAGAGCTTAGATCATTTAATTCTCTGTTTTATTTTCATTTTTTAGCACAATCTGGCTGGATGAATTAAATTATACTATTAAGAAATTTATGTTATTTTGGGAACTTATTTTAAACAAGGAAAATAATTGTTTTCCAGTGTAATGAAACTGGATAAAAATAATAATCCAGTGCTAAGTCTTTGATGAGATACTGGTAATATTGCAAGACTCTGAAAACTCTTTTAATACAATGAAATTGTTTTTCAATAAATAATTAAGCTACGAAAGGTTAACTAAAATCATTGATATTCACAGGTAGTAATTATAATATATGATCAATTTCACAAATTTTCATTTAAATGTTGAAAGTAGATTTAGATTTAGATACAGATTTGGATTTAGATACAGGTCTAACATAAAAAATATGTTTTTAGGCCATTCAAAGTTTTTCCTATGTTGTCAGTCAAAGGATTTAATTTCAAATTTTTTTTTCTTGTAGAAAGACCTTAACTTTAGCAAAATTAAGGTACCTAATATGACATATTGTAGACAAATCATTACAGAAAATGGCCAAATTCAAAGAAGTCAACCAGAATAATCGATTTTGGTTCTTTCGATTTTGTTTGTTTTTTCTGATATTGGGTGTCAAAAACCTAGGCGGCCATGCTAATCATAGAAATAACTTGGAATGGCATAACCTGACTGACCCATACTTTAGGAACAAACTTTATTTTTAAAGAAAATACTTCTATACTTTTTATGTCAATAAAACTTTAATACTAACTAGAACTGTCCAAACGGGACAAAATACCCCCCGCTGGGTTTTTCAGAAGTAAGTTTTTCCAAAATAAAGATATGTATCAAACACGAATTATGAAATTTTTCTACCAGTGACCTTGAACTTCTCCAAGTGACCTTGGGTCAAGGTCATGACACACCCTTGGGTCATGGGCAATCTCTGTGTGAAATGAGAACCTACCAAGTTTATCCATAGGAAAGATATGGACCGGACACGAATTATAAATTTTTTTTTCTAGTAACCTTGAACTTCCCCAAATGACCTTGGGTCAAGGTCATGACACACCCTTAGGTCATGAGCAATCTTAGTATGCAGTAGTGGATTCTAATGTCCCTCTGTAAGAAAGATATGGACCGGACACGATTGCACAGACAGACGGACAAGGTGATTCCTATATACCCCCCCCCCCCCCCCCCCCAAACTTCGTTTGCGGGGGGTATAATAATAGGTACATATGAAGAAAGCCAAAATGCAACTTTCACTTTTGGAAATCTGCTGGTCATGTTGTGTACCACTATGGCAAGCAAAAATATTAAGACATGGCAATGAAATAGCTTTCAAATACATGTATATATAAATTAAAAATGATCAGTATATTTGACCATTGATTTATATGTGTATTTTTGTCAATTTTCTTTAAACAGTAATTCGTAGAATCCTATCTCTCTATTTTCTTTCCAATTAACAGTAAACATATTTTTTCCCCTTCCTTCCCACCTTAATCATGTTAATTGATGAAAAAAAGAATGAAGTTTAATTGATATTTTAATTATGAACATGACAAATCACACAAAAACACATCAAACTGTTACTGTTCATAACTTGCTCTTTCTTTTTGTTTTGTTATCCATTTGTAAAGTTGAACCACATTAACACGCGAAAAAATGTCCTGAAAACTTTTAAAAGCACTGAATTCCCTCCCAGGAATGTAACTGAAAATGTCATTAGCTTTAGGTTCCATAATGATCAGTTGAAGATCTTTTTCTTATCCACAGTAGGTTTGGATTGACTTGAGGTTTTCATGCCAAGCTGTTTCTGAACACTGGACTTTATTTCTTCCTGCATTTGCACACAAGAGGCAATCTTCTTAGCACTTTCATAAGTTAGATTTGCACCCTGCTGTCTCATTTTCTTCTTTATAACATGTACGCATATTTCAACGAGATTGTCATTAGGGATATTTTTCCCAGTCCCTCCATGAATATTTGAGGAACAATTCCACTTGTACTCAAATGCCTCACGTGGTGATAGGAGAGAACACTCGTAGGCTAAGAGTCTCCAAAGCCACAGTTTATATTTGGAATGGTTAGCAATATCAGCACACATCATTTCAAACTTTGCATTTCTAAATATACGTGTTCCATCACCAAATTTGAAAGCATCCTCTGTGTCCCTAAGTAATAATGCAAGTTTCATAAATGATGAACGCCACAGAGCTATGTGGTCTTGCTTTGATGTTGCTGATTCGGGAGTTTCCTCTTCTGTTGTATGAAACACCCAGTTGTGTTCATTTTGCAGATGTCTCTTGAAGTGACCTTTTGTCTTGTACTTTCGGTTACAGGTGCAAACACACTGCTTTGATTCATCTTGATACATTTCACTCATCAAAAGCTCCTTGTTGTCCATTTCTGCAGCTTGTGCTGTGACAGTTGGCAAACTATCTGCAAATTAAATTTTTACTGTGTTTTAGGTCACATACATGATATCTCACCTTGCCAAACAGAACAAAAATTACTATTACAGCACAACTCATTTGACTGAGCCAAATATATTAGGATCCCGACCCCTCCTCCTGAACATGACAAAAGTATCCAACAACTTCATTGTGGATAAGTATAATCTGAATTATGAATTATGGCTTTAATCTGACAATTACATGTAGGTAATATATGATGCAGATGTAAAAGTCATATTACATTTACAGATAGACAGATGCAGATAGAATGTGAACCCAAATCAGTCATCTTCTAAATACCTTCTTCAATGTAGACAAAAGTGTCCAAGATCTGGAAACAAAGCTCTTTTATCCAATCATACTGGTCTTCTTTACTTTGAAGATGTAATAATTCTGGAAGAATGGTCCTTTTAGGTTTTTCATCAAGGCTCTTGATTTCCAACACCTCCATACAGGCTGTGAGGAGAAAGGTATCTAAACAGTCCCTGATGAATGTCATGTGAGACCTGTTGGAGTAAAAATGTGATTCTGAGTATCATTTTAGTAATCATCTTTGAGCTATATTTAATTCATATGGAACATGTAGGTTACTCTGTCTACAGATCTGTGTATTAAAGTGTAGAAATATTTTAATAGACCTCTGATGATCCATCCAAATTTTTCAGACCACTGACCTACAGTTGTGAAGCATATACTACTCTCTCAGAACTCCCAATAAACTACTTACTATAATATAAAAGAGATTTACCTAAAATTCTCAGTGACACCATCTGGCCCACTAACGTCTCGTCTCTGCAGGACATTGCGCAATTGAAACAAAGTCCCTTGATCTGCAGCTGATGAAGGCTTGTAGAATTACTGATAAATGGTCTGAATATAGAATTTTAGAGATCCTTAACATTTGTTAATTATGTTAAATACTAATATATCAATTTGCAAATAATGTCAAAAATGTAAATAACAAAATTTAAATTCAAATTACTATTAAATTAAACTCTGGCTTATATTATCAAATTCATTTTTTTTTAATTTTGGCTTTTACTGTGATTTGGTATTTATTAATAGTTGTGAAATCCAAATTAAAAGACAAATAACGGCATAATAAAATTAGTAAAAATACAATCAACTGCATGCTTAATTAGTAAAAATGTAATCAAATGCATGATAAAATTTATAGAAATATAATCAACATTTCATATGAAAGTTGAAAAGGGGGGGGTGGAGAGAATGAAAGAATAAAAGGACCTTCACCAATGTCTGAAAAACATTGCAGTAACAAAACTACTAAAACTTACTAAAATAAAGCATCCAATATGAAATTCAATATAGAAAATGCAAACTTCAATAACATCTTGAACAGGGAATAATTGTTTTACTGGATACCAAGAGTAAATTCATGATCCGATGGAGACCCTCTGGCCTATGAACAATTCCTGTAAGGCGACTAAAATCACTTTCATTGTTTATCATAGCCAGCTGGCTAGAGTATGCCCGTTCATTGGTGAGGACATCCCCACCAAATACAATTTTCTCTACAATATCTTCACCAGAATGTGGGACATAATGTTTATGCACATGTTCAAGAATTGAAATCATGTCATCAGACTTATTTTCACTTTTATCGAGTAGGTCTACAATGTTATACACTGATTTTTCAGACAGCTCTTTCAAATACGGATGGTCAATATATTTGGGGACACATTGTGCAAATGGCTGCAGACAGTCAATGTTCTTAGTAACAACTAATGCAATATGATAGATCATATTGATGTGGAAACTTTCACAGTCTTCCCTGCTAGGTAAAAACTCACTATTAGGTACCTTCAAAATATCTGCTTTAGGCTTATCACTAGGTAAATCATCTGCCAACACTCTTCTTTGAACTGCCACATTAAGAAACCAATGAAGGCTTTTCCTCTGTTTATCTTTAGTCATGTTTGTTGGTGATATAGTGTGGTCTAAGTTGTCTCCAATGATTTCAAACCTTGGTATAGTGGGTGACATCTGATCAGCATTTCTTATTATAAAGTCTTTCAAAGTCATGCTACTTCTATCATGCTTGGCAATTACATTGACCGGTTCTTCTAACTGAAAATGCTTCAGTGGTCTTGATGGTAAACTTGGAAACTCTATACTGCCAAGTTTGGTGTTCAAAGTCAGTGATTTCACCTCTGTGGTTGGATTACGTAATACATGTACCTGCGCTGACTCGGGTAAAGTGTTTTGGCTGTAGACATCGATAAACATTTTCTTTCTCATCTCATAATCATTGCTTGATATTGTCAAGCAAGAATGCTCAGATGGGCTCGTAAAGGACTGATTTGTTTCGGATGTCTTAAAGGAATTGACCAAATCAAAATACTGAATATCAGATGTACCTGATTCATTTTTTTCTGCCGGCTCTGGTTCATACTCCAAAATAGATTTTTCTGCACTCTTGCTTAATGATATGCAATGCTTCAAAACAGTCTGGTCAATCTGTTTCTGGAAAATATCATTTAGCTTCTCTTTATTTATTAGGAAAAGTTTTCCTCTCTTAATTGAGACTGACTGTGGCCCAATGGACAATCCCATTTCCGAAAGAGTTTGAATAGTCTGAAATTAGAGAGAGACTTACTTTCAAGGGAAAATTTCATATTCAATTCAAAATTGAAATATCATTTTTTTTAAAAATCAACTTTCATTACATATAGATGCTTGGTGTAGTATTTCTCTAAATTGCATGACTGTTTTAATGTATTTTTAATCGGGTAAAAAAAAACACCTCATCTGTTGCACCTCCATGATCTAGAATCTGCCCAATGATGTGATGTAGTTGTGACATGTGCTTATTTCTGTTCCAAAGCAAAACTGATGCAGCAACAGATAATCGGCAATCATTTTTCTTCTTGGTAATTGTTTGAAGTACATCATACAGCATTGGTGCTTTCTCTTTCAGCTCTTCACATACACTCTTAAACTTAAAGTGAACTTCATCGTTACTACGCAAAACTGAGGGGTGTGATATTTTGCATAAATCTTGGCATTGAGTGTTCAGTTCAGACAGCATCAACTTAATCATTTCTGTCTTAAGAACCTCTATTTTGTAAATTTTTTTGGAGATGATCTCTGCTTTATTGCCTCTTACCAGGGATTTTAATACTGCCACCCAAGGACTGTCTTTAATAAAGCGTGTCCTAACTTTTGAATCATTTTTTCCTCTAAAATGCACCTACAAAAAATAATAAAATTAACTGTTGCAATTTTTTCGTTTACCATGTTTACGTTAAATCTTACTGCTAATCTAAACATGTGTAACAGGAGAAAAATGTGACAGATCAGACCAGGATTTGAACCCTGAATATCCAGTTAGATGCTCTACCGAGCTATCTGGCCAATAGCCATGGAACCTGTCTGCCACAAGTTACAAAAATTAAAAAGATACATGTACAATATCAAGATGCACATTGTGTGATAAATTTGTCTTAAAACTGTATATACATATGTTTCTTGGGAATAATTTATTCTTTATTTATAAGACCAAATCATTAAGTGAAAAATTTAAAAATGTTTACATTGAAGGGAAATATTTTTATTTCCTATTTGTACAAAAATAGAATATGTACCTTTACTTTGTTTGCTTGGTGTCAGCTGATCGTCTGCTAGTCTTTTCCTTACTGTTTTTTTAATATTTTGCTGTGCATCTCGAAAGACTTTCTTATTTTGCGTGGAGTTGGAGTCCTTAAGATGACACGTTTTGTTAACTTCCTTGGAGTTTGGATGGAACTAGAGGCACCGCCAAAATTGACCGAGGGGACTTTCTTTGCTGGAGACAATAAAACATTCCGACTTGGTCTAAGTTCATTGATAATGTCACATTTTTCTCTTTTAAGTGCTGATAATTTGTTTTCTAATTCATATTCAATCTTGTATAGCTTATTCAGTTTGTTAAAACACCTGTAGCAAGTGTATTGGGGCGATGAATGCGTTCGCTGTTCAGGTACAAAACCCAATACCTCATTTTACTGTTTCTTCACAAAAAAAGTGTCACTGTAAATATTTCTTCTGTTCTTTTTCGGTAATTTTTCCAAACACAAAATACAATCATCCATGCTTGTGCGCCATATTTGTTTACGTCTGATGTAAGCGGCAATTTGATTGGTGCTTCTCAATGAGAGAAGCAAGCCCACAGATTTCGAATGAAATAAGTCAGGGGTCCAACGGCAACGTGTTGACTCAGGACCCCTGACGTTGTGAGGATGGCACACCCTAAGAAAAATGCTTTTCTATGTAATTAAATTGATTTGGTAGCTAAATAAAGCTACCTTTGGTAGGTAAATCGAGCTAAGTAGGTAACTCAAGCTACGTTAGTACGTTGCTAAAGCTAGTAATTGTACCAGACCTGGTAAATTGGGCTTTGAAAAGGTCCATTAATGCCATTGATATTGTTTTATTTATTACCGTTATCCTTAATATTTATATCAAAAACGAGGTTATGTAATTATTTTGGGGTAAAGGTAAGCCCTCGATTGTAGAAGTCAGCATTTCTCGCAAAAAATACCGGTACTCGCTGACACAAATGATAACTACTAATCGATCATTAACTATCACTGGATTTTACCGATTTTTCTGCGACTTTGCAGGCCCTCAAATGTCCATCAATGCTCTTATTGCATTCCTTAATATGCTTCAGTGAATCTTCATCAGGAAATTTTGGACAGAGTCCACATTTCCCTTCGAAATAAAACCGAAGGGAACAAGGCATCATTTCAACCATGGGAGCAGGCATCCATGTAAAAGGGAGGTAATCCATTGTGTATTTTGGATGGAAATTACAAATTTTAAATGACCATTAGTCAAGTTAGAACTGTTTTGCACAATTTTTTTTTTCCTGATAAAATTTTAAAACACCTACTTGTGTTAATTGTAACGTTACTTTTTATTGGAGTTGGAAAAGGGTTTCGTAGTTCTGGACGATTTTAAAAGTGATGTTTTCAATGAAATACTACTGAATCACGAGTACAATTTGAAAAATCATAAAATTTTAAATATGCTTTTCCATTTGAATTTTTTTCCAAAAAACTATTACTATTTATCAATATTTTAATTATATTTCAGAAAACATCATAAGATATAACATTGCAATGCCTTCAAATTTAGCTCAAAAATCAGCTGTTTAAAGTGACCACCCCTATGAAAGTTTTTTTGACTCGTCCATTTACAGGTGAATGACACACCTGAGTGACCACTAAGCAATGCTTTCAATTTTAGCTCTACAAGGGAGTGGACGTAAGTTTATCGCTCCACGTTTCGCATGTTTTTATAGGCATTGCAGACGTTTAGAATGGCGCAAAGTCAGCTTTTCTCCCCAGATGCCTTAGGGAGAAGAACACCGTCTTCTGATAGACTGCAGGTTTGTGTTTCGGAAAACGAGCAAATTTCCGACGATGCAGAAAGTGATTATGAGCAAACGCCAATTCAGGGCAATAAAGACAAAAACACGCCAATAAGGGGCACAAAAGATACGCCAATACGGGGCACAAGAAATACGCCAATACGGGGCACTAATAATGCTGGTACGCCGATTCAGGGCACTAATGAAGAACCTCACTCTGATGAGGGTTCGGGAAGAGAATGGAGAAACGAACGAGTTAATGCACCCAAAAGTGAAAGTAGAAAGAGAAAGCGTGAGAAGGAGAGCGATAGCGATTCAGAAGAATCTAGTTCAGATGACAGCAGTAGTTCAAATGATTCCGAGTCAGATTCAGATTCAGATATGTTCAGTCCTTCACAGGTTTTGAAGATGAAGGGAGGTGAGAAATTACCAAAGAAAATAACGAAATACATTGAGAAGTATGCTAACAATGGCATTACCAAAGCTACTCGACAAGAAATAACAAAGAACTGTAAAACACCAAACACAAAAGATTAAAATCAAAAGAAACTGACAGATTCATTAAAAAACTTTTTAGGAAAAGATTCAATCAGGCCATGTCCAACAAAAAAGAGAAAATTATAATAAATACACAAAATCGCA